GTAAATATATATATGTATATTCATCTATTTATATGCATATTTATATAATTATATATAGTGTATATACATACGTGTATGCATGTATATATACAGAAACGTAACATATGTCCACATATACAAGTTTATATGTATGTATATATGTATGTCTGTGTATAATATATATATAACTATAAAAATATAAATATATATTACAAGGGACACAAAAGTCATGAAAAAGAAATGGAGAAAATATAGAAAAGCCATCGACGTCTCTCTCGTGTTCCCTCACGAAAGAGAAAAAATGAGAGAGGAAGAGAGAGAGGGGGGGAGGGGAGAGAGAGAGGAGGGGTTAAGGGGGAAGAGGGGTGTAGAGGGAAGAGAGAGAAGATCGGATCGTTGCCGTCGGGAAGAGATTGCCGACTCCATGTTAGCAGCGTTGACTCGAGCGAGTCTCTTTATTGCGCAGCAACGACCTCGACGGATTTTGCCGAATTTCCACCGTCCTATCTATTTTTCTTTTTTTTTTTTTGTTTGTTTGTTTGTTTATTTGTTCTTACTTTTATTTCGGAAGCATGAAAAATCATGAGAGAAATAACGAAAAATAAGATAGAGATGGAGGTAGAAAGTTAGAGAGAGAGAGAGAGAGAGAGAGAAAGAGAAAAAAGAGAGACACAGACATACAGACAGACGGATACAGAAAGAGAGAGAGAGAGAGAGAGAGAAAGAGAGATGTCGAGGACAACGATGACGACGATGACGATTGCAAAGATTTTTCTTTTTATTTCCACGTAACACCCGACGTCCTCCATTTTCTTTTTCCGTGTCTCTCTTGCGCTAGCGACCATAACCTACATCTCGTTACATCGTTTCTTTACATTTATTACTTAGAGATACTTAAAATGTGTAATAAGTATATTGTATATATATATATCCTATATATTATTGTATATATATATATATGTATATGTATATAAGGGATTATGTGATATGTATGATTATGTATACACCATATATGTGTTGATATATAATAGCATATATTTTTAAATAGAAGGACAGATATTTATGATGATTAATTGATTATACGAAAAAAATCGATTGATCGATCTAAATCGATATGTAAGTTTAATGATGATCTTATACGGTATTATGAATTAGAAAGATTTTTGGGAATAAAGAATAGAATTGGAATAATTCGCAAGTAATTGATATCGTTATCTGACGATCGGATGAAAGAAATACGAGAAAGATAGAATGAAATAGGAAGAGTAAGAGTAAGAGAGAGAGAGAGAGAGAGAGAGAGAGAGAGAGAGAGAGACAGGTCTGCTTTTGGTCGAGGTCTTCAACCAGGTCCGCGTGTGGTACCTAAAAATAAACTTTCGTATTGCGATAGTTGAGAAGGCATGAGAGGATGTCGTTGCATCGTCATGCGACTCGGTAAGTAGTACTGGAAGTAACAACGACGAAATATGATTACGAATACGACAAGAACGAATAAACACACACACACAGAGCCACAGACACAAGTAGGGAATTTCAAAAAAATAGGAAAAAAATTCGAATAATCGATCCGAAATGGTTATATAAATTGTATCACCAATGATCGTCGGTTGCGATCATTAAAATCAAATCCGGGGGTTAAAAAGAAAACAAAAAACAAGTGTATCGTAAGATCAATTTTAATTTGGATCCGATTCGAAGATAAAAAAAAAAAACAAGGATAGATTTGTTGGAAAAAAAGTTAAAAAGATTATTCTCATACAATAAAGTAATATTCGAAATATTTAAATACCCAAAAGAAGTGTTTTCGGTGATCCGTTTATTATTTTACTTACAGCATACACGTACAGATGATGACGACGACGACGACGACGACAACATTTTCTGTCGAAATAAATTGACGAAAGAATCGACACGGTAGTAGTATAACGACACAGAGAACGACAACGACAATGACGATGATAACAGTCTTAATAGCAATAGTAACAGCAGTCGCATGTTCACGACGATAGCAGTCACGGTCACAGTCACGTAGTCTACCACGAGAAACTATCGCGACAAGATGCGCGTTATTGGACGGTGTAACACATACCCACAGGGCAACACACTCCTCATCATCATCATCATATCATCATCATCATCATCATCACTGTGTCACAGCTGGATAAGGGAAAAAAAGGGATAGAAAGGACAGGAAGGATGGAAAAAGATAGATATATATCGAGAGAAAGGAAGAGAAATCGAGAAGAAAGGGATACGCACACACACACACACACACATATACACACACGCGAGCACACATACATATATATATATATATATATATATATATATATATATAGAGGGAGAGAGGGAGAGAGAGAGAGGCAAGCAAACAACAAACAAACCAACTTATTTAGCGGCTCCGTTATATATCCCAAAAGGAAGGAAAACAAAATAAGTGGAAAAATTCTTCTGAAACAACTTATGTTTCCCGGGAAAGTGATAATCGGTAATGTGTGAGAGGACTTACAGCAGCAGTGTAACATATAAAGATACGTATAGAGACATATAATGAAAAAGAGAGAAAGAGTGAGAGAGAGAGAGAGAGAGAGAGAGAGAGAGAAATATAGTGTTAAGGGGGTCAGGAGGGGTGACGGATAAAAGGGGAGGTGGAAAAAAAAAAAAAGGAATGGAAAAATAAAAAACAAGAAGAGACGGCAAAAGGCTTGGCTCGTCTTCTCTTCTCTTGGATTTTCCTTTTTCCTTCTTCTTTTCCTCCTCTTCGAATCCTCCTCACCACCACCTTCAACACCGCCTCCTCCTCCTCCTCCTCAACCTCCTCAACAACCTCCTCTGACTCGTTCTCTTTCGTTTACCTTAGTTTTCTTCTTTTCAACGATGATCCAGTCGTTCTTTCAAATAAACATTCAATGATTTTTCATCACTTCTATCATCCGTGTGTGTTTTTCAACAATGACAACGACGACGGTGGTTGTGATGACGATACGATGACGATGACAATGACGTTGACGTTGCGGTTGACGTTGACGTTGACGTTGACGTTGATGACGGCAAATAGAAAGAAACCGCGTCCCGTCACTTTCCAGTATATTTTCTATTACGATAGAAAACCTCAGAGAGGACACCGACGGATGACAATGGTACAACACAAAACTCACTTAATTTTTTATTTGTTATTTTTTTTTTTTTTTCTTTCGGAAAAATAAAATGAAAAGGAAGAGAGAGAGAGAGAGAGAGAGAGAAAAAGAAATAAAAAGGAGAATAGAAGAAGAACAGATTAATATATATTTAATTTATGTCTCTCTGTTTATAAAATTGAAAGATAGGGATAGAAATAGAGAAAGAGAGAGAAAGAGAGAAAGAGAGAAAGAGAGAGAGAGAGAGAGAGAGAGAGAGAGAGAAAGAGAAAGAAAGAAAGAAAGAAAAAAAGATATTGATAGAGACACAGACAGACAGGCGGTGAGTGTAAGAAAGAGAAGAAGAAAAGATAGATAGATAGATAGAAAGAGAGAGAGAGAAAGAGAAAGAAAAAGATCGAAAGAGATAGAAGAGACGGTGCGCGGAGAGCAGCGGGGAGCAACCGCGCTCCTTCTTGCTTTCTATCTCTTCTGTAGTGATTCGGTGCAATCGAGTTTTCTGACTGAACGCTAGGATCTCGACGAGCCGTGCCCCGTGAGCCAACACTCCTACCAACCAAATACTTATCTATAACAAAAGTTACTAGATTTTACTAATATTTCATCTAGATAGATAGATGTTCTCAATATTTATTCTATTCTTCTATATATATCTAGATATTTACATATATGTATAAGTCAGGAACATAAGTATTCGTGTACAGTAATGTAATATGGAAATATTTTATTATTAATTTTTTTTTTTATAACTAAAAGGAATAATTAGTAGTAATATGAAAATGGTATTATTAATTGTAATAGTTATTATTAATAGTAATATATTACTACTGTGCGAATATTTTTATACTAAAAGTGTATATATACATATGTTATTAGTTATTAGATTTATAATATACGTATATATACTTTATATACGAATTTATGTATATACTTTTTTTTTGTATATATATTTTTTAATAATTATTATTTTTTTTCATTTATAAATGAATTTTAATATACGTTGATTGATTATATTTTTGATTGAATCTTTTGCAAACGAATATTATTGAGATTATACTTTGTTAGTTTACTATCTTTATTTACGTGCTTCAAATTTGGTTTTAAAATAAGATTGGCATACTTGATTTATCGTGCTTTCTGTTAAACTTTTGTTTACTTATTGTTGGAATCACTAGTTTCTACATTTATACAGATATTTCAATTTAATTCGAATAGTTTGGTAGAATATTCCCATAAGTTATAATATTTGCCATCGAATCGATCATTTTACTCATTCGTGAAATAAATTCATCGTTTCATTACAACTAAATACTATGCGCGTGACGCAACAGGTTACTTGTGCGATATAACACACACACACACAATCAAAATTTCATATATTAATTTGCAAGAGTCTTTTGATTGATTGGACTTTTTATCGATTTTGAAAACAACAAATTCATGTTCCGAGGATATTCAAAATATTTCTAGTTAAAAGTATCATATATAATTAAAATACAAATATTTAATATTCTTCACACACAATTTAATAAATGTTCTTTTTCATTAAAAAAGATTTAACATTATTGACAATTTTCATATGCATAAGAATACATTCTTAAATAAAGAATCATTAAAAATTTATTTCACACAAACTAATGTATATGTATGCAAGAATAAAAAAAAACAGTATTGTTGACGACCAATACGTATAAAAATAATTAAATCAAAAATTAAATCACTTTTCTCTTCCTATTGAGAACCACTGATAAAACAAATATCATGTGATTACATTGGTAACATTGGTTGCACACGATTGGCTAACGATGAACTACCTGTACGTTGATTGGCTGCTTGATTGAGATACTGCCATCTTGTAGATGTGTACTTAACTTACTTCAGTTGTTGGGAGGTGGGGCGTCTAGGAGGGCGCGTACGACGAATGAACGCGAGTATTAGCAGCGACATACGTCTCTTCTACATAACCTGTTTAGACGAATTTTGCGAGATATTACTTCTCCGGATAAATCGCGAGTTGAGAGAGACATACACGAGTCTATAACGCAACGTTCGTGATTGTTAATCGTTCAAGAAGAATAACGAAAAGATTAATATATTATAAATAAACGTAAGAAACTTTATAGGAATAAAACATAACAAACTATAGTTTTCTTCATTTCAATCTCGTTTTATTCCTCCTCGCCATATTTCACGATAGAATAACGCGTAGAAGTAACGGAGAAAAAAAGTAGTGGTTTATCGTTGAGAATGAAGAGCTGAGAAATAAACTTGTGGCAGTTAGAGTTGGAGGTAAGAACATATATTTCTTCGTGTATTATTTCATTAATATGTCAAAAGAGATTTAATTTTTGTTTTTTTTTTTCTTTTTTTCACCTGTTTTCCATATTACATATAGATAATATATAATATAATAATATATATTTCATTGTAATATATAAATGTGTGTTCGTGTGTGAATTTTTATAAACCAATATGGTGATTATTTTTACTATTTTAAAATGAAATATTTGGTATTTGAAAGGGACTTTTCATGTTTCTGTCACATTTGAGTATAAATTATGGTATCTATGTGTTTCTGTGTGTGCGCGTGTGTGTGTGTGTTTGTTATGTGTTTTTGACAGTGGCTGAGGTTGTCGCGTGTCAATTAGAATCATGACTTTTTTTTAATCATGTGACTGTGTATTTATGTATTTATTCACGTGACCATCCAATGTATTTTCTAGTTTTTATTTAATACTTTGTTTTTCAGAGTACTTTTCTTAATTTTTATTTATTATTTAATGTTACACTCTCTCGTGTTATATTTGTAAATAATAAATCTCCGAAAAGAAAAACACATTCTTTGTGAATATATTTTATTTATATTAAATATAAATAATATTGTTTGTGACAGAGAGGTGTCTGATTTAAATCAATTTTTTGCATAAATGTATGTGGGACACGATTTAATAATTATTTTTGATTATTTGTTCTTTTTCGTATAAAAAATAATTATAACATATTTTACAAATTCGTTGTGTAAAATAGTGAACATTTTTTTTATTGTTGTATTAATCAAAGAATAAATAAGATAATTTATGTAATTAATAAATTTTAATCTTAACTTATGTAACCTATCGATCAAAAAAACCTGTACATATTTTTCAAGATCATATCGAAGGTTAGAAAAACATGTGAGATCTAAGATAGTGTCGTTTTATTACAACGTTTAAATGGTCGTAAATTTATTTTATATTTCCCGCGCAAACATTTCATTAAACCGTCATTTTATTAACAATAAATAAGTAATTGCGAGTATTCAAAAACTGAATGAAATATAAAGAAAAAGAAAGATAATTTATATGAATTTATCATCCATAGATAATCGCATTTCTATTAAGATAATGTTTTCTCTTTTTCTTATTATTTATTTATTTATTTATTTATTTATATGGTACAATATATTAAAATTTCTCCTTATGTACATATATATACATAAAAAAGATGTATTCAAATAAAATAAAAATTGGCCATTGATCAAAAATAATAACTATTGTTAAAAATATTGTTCATCTCCATAATAATAATTGAATGTTTGCGTGTAATGTTTATATACAGGATATTTCAAAATATGTTTGCATAAATTCAAGAGAGGCTGGTCGGTACATTAAAATAATAAAAATAAACAATATTGATACAATATTAAATGCCCGATATGATTTTGTTTTTGAATTATACTAAAATACGTATCACGCGATATCATCAATTGTTATGCGGTTTATGCATACGACGATGCACCGCGTGTCACACTTTAATCTTTCAACGAGACAATAAATTTTTAAACGAGAAATTCTCCAATAAATGGATTTGTTTTGTAAGACGAATTAATCGGCCAACACGAAAGCCTGATTTAAATTCGTTGGATTTTAATATTTTGTCGACATTTACAGTCTTTAGTTTACAACAAATCGAATAATAAAATCCTATGATAAATTTCTATAACATTCAATAATGTTGTCAGCAAATTCAAACGTTCAAACATCATTTTTGAACACGTAAACAAATTCATGACGTTTTGGAGCTTGCTATGAAACCGACGCCTGATTATTTCCAATAATTTTTATAATAACCGTGTAACAACGCGTGTAATATAAAAAAAAAAGGAGTATAATAGGGAAACAAGATTATATCGGGTATTTGATGATTGTATGAACCTTATTTTTTATTAATATTTGAATGTACTGAATCACACTACCCCTAAAGTTATGCCAATATGTTTTGAAACAGCCTGTATATGTGAGCAAGCACATAGAAAACAAGAGTCAGTGCGCTTGCTCGGAAATGTCAGTGAACCCGTGAACGGCAGAACGTTTCTTGTAGACGGTTTACTTTCGCATTTTCTCTTTTTTCTTTTTTCCTCTCATCAATTTTTATTATTTTTTTTCTTTATATATATATATATATATATTGTATATTTGTTTTTATCTTTATTTTTATTTTTCACGAGTATTCTCTTCCTTCTCCTCCTATTTCCCTCCCTTTGCCTACCCCTACCCCGTCCGTAGAAAATAAATACAATCTAAAAATAATTTGTTATTTATATGCGGTTTTATTATATAGTGATCCGAGATGAAAAAGAAAAAAAAAAAAAAGAATAAAAATAAGAAAAAGATAGAAAATAAGAAATGTGTTTCATTATATAGTGTATTTTTCGTAATATACTTATTTAATATATTTCATTTTATCTGTAATATTATCATTTTGCACGATCAATATTTCTTTTTGGTTCGCATATGTCAGTAATCAATTAAAGATAAAATGTTTCAGATATTTTTCATCATCCGGTATATATATATATATATATAAATAAAGATAAAAGAGCGGGAAGGGTTGATAGAAGTATTCACATATAGATAATTTAGAAATAATTTTCTTGAAATATTATAATTTCGCACGTGGTATAATAATTATTGTTAAAATGTTTGATTTGCCTATTTCAACAATTAATGTAGGATCGTAAGGGTACATTTTCTTTTTTCCTTTCTTTTTTATAGTGTTCTCAACGGTAAGGTGTACTCTAAACGAAGGACGAGAGAAGATTAAAGAGCTAAAATAAAATCTAAGTCGTTTGTCGGACGAGGTCAACTTCTTTCTCTCTCTCTCTCTCTCTCTCTCTTTCACATATATATACACACACACACACGTATTACTTACTTACATACATACTATTTTACTTCGTCGATTCTCTCTCTCTCTTTTTTTCTCATTTCTATCTTTCACCGTGAATACCACCTTTACCACAGGCAATACTAAATATCCGATTTCAAGAATAAAATGACGAGAAGTTGTGTTCGACGTTATATAGTAGGATAAACAAAAATATCCCTACCGTCCATGATAAAATTAGCTACGACCCTTTCTAATGCGTGTAATTCAAGTTATAATAATCCAATTGATTTATTGTATATATTCAAAATTCACATACGTATATATACACGCATTTAATGCGTATGTTTATATCTGTATTTGAAAAAGATAGAAAATATTTAAATGTAATTATTTGTTTGCGTATGTTCGAGTGTACTTCGTTGTATTTCGTTATTGGAATATTTTAAAGAATCAACAAGCTTCTTCTACTAATATATATTTATTATATCTATAATATATCACACGAAAATCGGTTTATCGAAAAAAGAAAGCAACAAAAAATCAATATTAGAATTACGATATATTTGTTTTTCATTGAAAGATAAATATAAATCTGTAATTATAGTATTGTTAAAAAAGTAATGGGTTCACGATGTCGTCGTCACTTCCAAATATTTGCCAAAGTATTAACAAATATTTAATATTAAATATTTATATTTCGAAAGTTTTATTTTGGTGAAGTAACTTTTGCGACACACTATATATATATATATATGTGTGTGTGTGTGTGTGTGTTTGTGAACGCGTGTATACATATGTCTATTCATAGAACCAACTAAAAGGGAAAAAAAGGGAATGAGAAAGAAAGTACAGGAGAAGTGTACCAAAATCTTTTCGTACTTGCATTGAAATTACTAACAGCTTACGGAATATATGTAGAAGGAATGAAAAAAGGTGAAAGCGTTTAATTGGTGGGAGTTCGTCCTTCGTTAAAATCCCACACAACTAGCAAGCGTACCGGTTATAAGTATTACGAATTCACCTTGTGACCTTGTTCCTTACGGGTTTTAAGTAGTCACGAGCCAAGAGCCCTCTCCCTTTCTCTCTATATCACTGTATGTTCACCTGCATCGGAGAGTATTTAAAATAGCGAAAGAGTAGCAGTGGTTCTCTAACGCGAGTTTCTCGTTGCATGGAAAAAAGAGCAAAAACAAAAAGAAACATAATTATTTATCCAAATCGTTCGTCATTGGTATACGCGAGAAATCAGATTTTTTTTAATTTAATAATTTTTTCATAACAGAAAAAAAAAAGAAAAGATGCTATAAATGTGTGCCAATAATTATGAAAGTAGTCTATAAGTCAAAATTAAAAAAACAAAATGGAATTTATTAGTTATTTCACATCACATTATTTCAAACTAAATTAATTCAATATAATTTTCACGATATTGTCAAAAATGAACCGTTAGATAGTGTTTGTTATTTCAATATTATATAGAATTCATATAATGTTCTAATGTAATCCTTTCCACTTTCATAATTATGAGCACAAATATACCAGTACCCCATCCATTTAGTGCAATTATTTTTGTCGAAAGATTAATACTCGATATCAAGAATTTTATTTTTAATATTTTCTTGAAAAAAAAAAACACACACAAACGATCAACTACTGATAATTTAGTTTCTTTAATTTATATATATATATTTTGAAGTTATACTTCTTTTGGCGCGTTTTGAAAAGTGAAGTAAGATGCGACCGAAAAATCGACACCACGAAGTTGTCGATATTTACGATGCTCGGGAAAATTGAAGTTATTTTTGAGATTATTGAGGTTATATTAGTATTGGTACGCTAAAGAATTATAACTTCTTACGTGCGTGCATAAGTACACACATCAGTTTTTGTTTGTTTGTAGCGATGAGCGGTTCTCGGCTTGGAAGAGGCCGAGGTGGTCGCCTGGCCGTGTACGGGGGTTGTGGGGTGGTGATCATACTTTTGGTCTTCCTTTACCGCGCCGCCACCTCAGAGATGGCCAGGCTACGTGAACTTCACATACAATGCGTTCATCAACACGAGTCACTCGCTGCACAACTTCAAGGTATATATACGAGCATATATTATATATATACTTACTTTTACTTTCGTTCCACCCTTTATATATATTTGCATGACATGCATATCGGTTTACTGCTACAACGGATACGATAAAATACAATAAAAAATGTAAAACTTCTTACCAACTCGTACAATTACGAATCATTTCACAGCGGGTAACAGATTTTCGTATTTGAAAGAAAACCCGCTCGTCGGATTCGAATATAATTTGTTAAATCGTTTTTTTTTTTTTTATTATTATTAATCCGGAAATATTCGTAGAAATATATTTATATATACATATTTTTGTTTTGTCTTTTTGTTTTTTTTTTTTTATACGCTCTTATCGCGAAATTATTATACGGAAAAATTTGTTGAAGAATAGAAAAGAACAACGAGAAACACATGATGATTTTTCACAGTTATATTCGAGTACAAGGTGCGATTAGAAAAATCATTGGCCGAGGAAAAGAGTTCTAATGCAATGGTGAAACAGGAATTACAGCAACGTGCCTCGCGTGAAAAATCATTGAGAGACAAGGACAGTATAGAGGCTATGCAAAGATTTAAATCTCTTCAACAGACCTATAAGATTCTTGAAACCGAGCATCAGGATCTTCAAGAAGAGTGTAAGAAACAAGAGAGTCAGGCATTGGAGGAAAGGAACAAATTGGAATCTACTCATAAGGATCTTATCAGGCAAACTAACGAGAATAAAGATAAAATTATAAGTGAGAAGGAAAAGACGTTGGAAAATTTTAAAAACAAATATTTTGAATTGGAAACGTTAAAGAACAGATTGGCTATGCAGTACAATGATTTAATTAAGAATAATGATAATACCGACAGTACTATAGAACATATGAGAAAGGAAATATTTCAACTGAGAGCAAAATTGGATGAAACAAAGGTAGTTTGAATTTTTCTTTTTTTTTTTTAATTTCTTATATATATATATATATACATATAAATGAGAGAGAGAGAGAGATCCGTTTACGACAGATAATAGATTGTTTGATCATTTTTTGTGTAAGATATTATATATAATTCAAAAAGACGTATTAGAGATTGATAAATTATTTTCTTGTCTATTCGATCAAATTTGACGATTCCAATTGTCTATTTTTAGAAACGATGCAAATCCACTTTAGCGGAAACAAGTTTGGTTAGTCCTAAAGAATCACAGCAGCCAAATGATCAAAACTTGATGGTTAAGGAAGTGATAGATCCGACACAACAAGTAGAACAACAACAACAGCAGGAGGAGGAGCAACAACAACAACAACAACAGCAGCAGCAACAGCAACAGGCTCAACAACAAAACATGCAGGTAAGTCGGCCGAACAACGACGATGAAATGAATTCTGAACCTCTGCCCGCTCCTCGCAATCATCACGCAATCGGGGATGCTCTATCGAATGAAAAGAACATGCAGGATGAACAGGATGACACCTTGCCGAATCAGGAACAAAGTAACGTCAGGTTTGCACCCGAAGATGACAACATCATACCGGTAGGTCCTAACGAAGTGAAGGAGGAGGACCAACAAAAAATATTACCCTTGCCATACAATTTAAGAGAGAAGAAACGTAATAAAAAAGATGAAACTTTTCCTTCCGCGGAAGATGTTGCCGATATTGACGAACTTGAGAAGAAAAATAATAAGGATGTCGATGGTGGTGCACAGGATTCTCAAAAACAGGTCCTAGCACCACCGAAAATTTCATCCTCGAAGGACCCTAACGAACTCGAGAATAAAATCCAAGACGAAAAGTCAACGAATGGTGATACTCTGGCACGACCGGATGCACAAAATAATTTTGCTGATTTTAGGGATATCGATAATGAGGTAGAAGCTTGACAACAAAAGGAAGTTGGAAATTGAGCTGTTTTTTTGTTCAAAGTTTTTTGGTTTTCTGTATTTCTTTTTTTTCTGTATTTTTTTTTATTTTTTTTTTTTTTTTTTTTGGACAACATTTTTCAAAGACGATCTGTTCTTCTATACCCCAACGTCGTCCCCTTTTATTTCTAACGAAAAGCTCGAATAAAACAACGTAGTTAAAAACAGACGATCTAAATACATACATATTTACATATATATATATATATATATATTTTTTTTTTTTTTCAACAACGTAACAAAGCATTACAAAACCGGCGACACGCTTGGATCTTCTCAAATGAGTCTGGGTTGTCGCATTATTTGTGAGAATGTGCCTTCGAGTGACATCTTATTTTTAACCCTTTGAATGTGATTCATTTCAAATTAAAACGCTTTATTATTCTACACAACATACGATGATATTAGTCGAAATAAATGAATTATTATTTGCTGTCGTGTGTTGCAGTGGTAAATATTATAATTTAATTATACGGTATATATTTATTTGCAGTATTAATCAATTTTACTTATATTAGAAATGTAAGTTTAAAACCTATGCCATAAAAATGCGTTGATAACACTCAAAGGGTTAACAATATTCTATATGTGCATTTTTATATTAGTTACTCTAGCAGGGTACTTTTGGGTCATTTTGTTTTTTATTCTTTTTTTTTTTTTTTTCTTTTTAATCCTTTTTTATTATGGTTTTTGTGTTCTTTTTTTAAGTTTTTTTGATTTCTATTTTAAATTAAAAATTTGGATTTTTTATATGCCATGTAGTTGCATGATATTTAACTGGGTATGGTAGATAGACTATTATGACAGCTACACTACTTAATAGTATTCGAATTTTTATTTCGAGACGATTTTTAATCAACAGAATCGCGTTCTTTTTTTTTTTTTTTTTTTTTTTTTTTTTACTGATCAACATATTTATTTATAAGACGCGTTTCTAATTAAAATTAAAGCATTTTTATTCTTCGATAGTATTACAACGATGATTATAATAAATACTAATTGTTTTCGATTGTGTGATTAAATTACGTAAAAAAGAAACAAACAAAAATATTAAAACGAACGACGTCGAATGAAATGCAATATAATATATATATATATACACACAAATAATACGATATGCAATATGGAAATGAAAAGATAAAGTATTAATATAAGTAAAAAGTATTTTTTTTTTTTGTTATTACAAATTCTATAATTTAA